TTAAACAGCAGTGACCCGTTAAACCATTGGGAGCCTGGCCCCATATAGAGCTCCGCTCCGCCGAAGGCCCCTCCCCCCCATATTTCGGCGCACCCTGCGCTTCGTGGACCCATGGGGAGCTCCCCTCGGCCCTTCTTGCCTCCTCTCCTCCCTCAGTCCGTAGCCACGATCTGCGCTCATGCAACATTCCGCCAGAAACGAAGAGACATCCAGCCTACCGCGCGGTGGTGCCGTGGCCGTGGTGCAGTGGTGCAATGCCCTTTAAGAAAAGGGTGAAGCCAGCTTTCATCATGAAGTGCAGCCCCGTCATGCGAAAGCGATTCCTCAAATTGATGAAGACGATCGACGTGCTGAAGACGAAATGCTGGCGGCAATCTGTGAGACTTCGTCTATACAAGAGCCGCGCGATGACGATCAAGACAGCCGTGGACGCCGCCCTTGAGTCCGACAAGTTGAACCGTGAGTGGGACGAGGGTCACATCAAGGATATGGAGGATAATATGAAGACTGACGACTCACAGTCGGATTGAAGCTTCTCGTTGCTCTGTTCTGCTCCGCTTTGCTCTGTAGCCTGTAGCCTATTCGATCTGGTGCGAAGGTTGTGTAGAGGAATCGGTGCGAGGGCTGTGTAGAGACTAAACAATCGGTGCGAAGGCTGTGTAGAGGAAAACAACCCTCGGTGCGAAGGCTTTGCTAGACAATCGGTGCGAAGGCTGTTTAGAGGAACGCGATCCTCCTCCATCATCACAATCATAATCATCAAACTCATTATCGTCATCATCATCGCCGTCATCATCATCGCGGGCCTCCCACCGAAGGCCCCAGCGGCAAAGTTCGCACGCTGTTCCACCCCAATGACGGCGCACCCCTTACACGGTTCGTGGCCCCATAGTGAACTCCAGCGAAGGCCCCAGTGGCAAAATCCGCATGCGATCCCACACACACACATACACACACGCACACACACACACACACCTCCGGCCTCCCTCAGCCCTCCCTGATGAGGGGCGGGGGGAGGGCAGCGGCTGCGGGAGGAGAAGGCAACGTGGGGCGCTGTCTCTTCAAAACGAGGACCCAACGCCACAGGACGGCATCCCTCCTCCTCTCCTCCTCCTCCTTTTCCTCCTCATCCTCCTCCACCTCCCGCAGGCGTTTGACTCAACGCCTTGCTGCGTGGCCTTCAGGGGGCACCCAGCCTACGGAGGAGCCCGTGCGCCACGTTGTGTGGCCCACGATTGCAGCCAATGCAACAGTTGGACCAGGCCACCGCCATGCATCTGCAGCAGGGATTATGTGAGTGTTTCTATTGTGGCGCTGCTGGTCACACCACGTCGTTGAGGGGCTGCCCGCATCTCTTTGGGCAACGCCTACTCTATCGAGCTATGCCGAGGGCGCAGGCCGACCAGCTCCAACGTGGCAGCGCCTACCACAGGCTGCAGGACGACGAGGCCCACGATCTGACAGCCTTCGAGCATGTGAGTTTCGGCAACGTGCGAGTGCGTTCTCGGTACTTCAGTGCGTCCGTCGAGCTGGACCCAGCCATCTTCTGGACCACTTGCATCGTCCAGAACGGCCGCACAGTTCGATCCCGTGGTCACAATTGGGATCAGATTGGTATTGCCCTGCTGGATCGCGCGCACGTCACAGTGCAGTATGATGTCAGCAACTCCTACCAGTGCTGCATTCACAACCTGAACACGGAGATAATGGCGATGGAGGCTGGCGGCAGGTGCTACACTGACACACGTGTATGGCGATTGGCCACAAGCAACGGTGAAGTGATCCTCTCGCGGATCGAGCCTGAGGCGCTATTGGCATACCGCACTGTCGAGGAGCTCTGCCTATGGGGACTGGACGTCCCATCACGCAATCAGAGGAACCAGCAGCTGGACAGGTGGCTGTTGTACGACATGTGGGCCGCTCGTTCGCGGTATGGCTTCATCGCGAGTTGTCCGCATTGGTTGCCACGGTAGGCTTTCAAGTGAGGTTCTTTGCAGCGGAATGGTTCAGAGCGACTTGGATGACAAGGCCCAGTGCCCAATGTACTGATCGTCTGATGTCGTTACTATTTTCATTAGCCGAATTTGCCATCGCACAGCCGTGTGATAGAATCGGCCCACGGCCCACGCGGCCCACGCGCCGGACCAGCGGATGGCGGCCCGCAGTGCGCCGCAGGCCGCAGGACTCTTCCGACTCCTCCTCCTCTCTCGTCGCTGCAGCTGGCCTGGCTGGGACGCAACTCGAAAGACTGGGGACTGGGCCCCTGGGCCCTCTTTTCTTCCTTGTCGCCGCGGCTGGCCCCGCTGGACGCAGCTCGAAGAACTGGGGCCCAGTTCTTCGCTGCAGGCTGGTCCAGCCATAGGGACCGCATGAACCCATCGGATCACTGGGAGCCTTTAGAGGTCCATGCGCTCCCAGGGAGCCGTAGGTGTCCAAAGGGGTCCAGTAGGAATCCACAAGCCCATCAGAACCAAACAATGAAACAGTCGAACGCCAATATGGTGGTCTTGAGTCAAGCTTGGCACCTCGTCGTTGTCAGCGTCCCTCTCCTCGTGCCCGTCATCATTCTCGGTTCAAGCGGATTGCTGCACCGTGCTCCGTTGCTTAAGGCCATTGGGGGGTGGCCGCAAGGATGTTATCCACGGAGCAGCCGCCGATGAAACGGTGCCGCGTTGGTGGCCTGGACCACCAGGAGGTTTTGCAGATGTACGCGGACGGGCCCAGCACGGTGAAGGAGCTTTTCCAGTGGCAAGATTGGGCATACTCTCGTCTGGAATGTTCAGAGACTGGCCCAGTGCGATTACTTCAACTTCAACGCAACGCAAAGCTGGGTTTCGACGCCGTGTCGTTTTACTCCGGGAAAGGCACTGACGGCACCATCATGACTCATCTCAACACGCTCTTCAAGAAGAAATTCAGCATGGACGAAGCGAGTGATTCGTGTAGATCATTGGTTGCGACCGATGCGGACCCCATTTGCCAGAACATCTTGCTCGGCATGCGGACGGGCGGACGGCAGAGCCAGGGGCAGCCAGGACGACCGATCTACGAGCACGTCTTCGGCGACATCATGACGTTCATCGAGCCAGAGCACAGGGACATCATACATCGCATGACTCCTCATGCATGCGCTGACAACGACGTGAAGGAGATGGCCTACCGCGAGATGAAGGACTACTTAAAGCAGTCTCGGATCGACAAGGTCTTGTTCAACAAGGACCAGCAGGGGGTGCCGACCTGCGTCTGCCATCGACATGGGGCAGCCTGCCCTTGGAGCTGGACGACAGATAACACGTCAAGGGGCCAACGAATGAAAATCCTGTTTGCTGGGTCGTGTTGCGAAGATTTCGCCCGGCCAGGGAACCGCGACGGCACCTGCGGCTTCAAGATGATCGTGTGGGAGGTCTTCTTGCAGATCCTCTTGGAACTGAACGTGGACGCCTGCTTCTTTGAGATCTCGGACAATGCCCCAGAGTCCTTCTACCGCGACGCGTTGGAGCCCGAAGGGTTTAAGATCATGAGCGGCATAATGTCTCCATTCCAGATGGGCTGGCCATGTAAAAGGCCGCGGCGCTTCACGTTCGCTTGGAAACCCATCCGCGTTGACTTCTCAGGGTCTTGGCAAGAGTTCCAGGAGGTGTTCTTCACTTGCCCCGTCTTGGACGGTGACTCGATGTTCATGGCGTCGGCCAATGACCGCAAGACCTACATCAAGGCGAAGGCCATCTTACGAGGCAATCATTTTGAAGATCATGCAGATATCCCTTTGGAGAATGCGTTGACGGCCAAGGAGGCCCTGCGCTTGGCATCCGCCAAGGCGCTAGCTCCCGAGAAGAAGGCCATCAGTGGTGCCTGCCTCGCTGATCTCGAGAGGGTTCCTAAGAGGAGCATGTTGGGCCCATATGTTCCGACGCTTCTCAAGAGTGCTCAGATCGTGAACGTGGCCACGAATGAGCTCATGATCCCTCGCGAGAAGCTGAGCGTGATGGGCGAGGCTTGCTTCCCCGAACTCGAGAGCAACGACTACCCTTGCTTCATGTGGGAGGCAGCGCGTGAGTGGATCACAGACCACGGGATTTCGAAAGCTGCAGGCAATGCCTTCCACGTCGTGAACATGGCTGCATTCGTCCTGTACTGCCTGAGCTGCTCGTGCCTGGCCTTCGCGGGAAGGGGGCATTACAATCATGAGTGCGAGCGTGTCTGACAGCATTAGGCTGTCGCGTCTTGCCGCAAGGGAGGGTGGAGAGGAGAAAGGAAGGAGCAGGAGGGGGGTCGTTATTTCGCGTTCTTTTTATCTTGGGGTGCCAGTCGATCCGATCTCTACAGAAGAGGTTTGACTGTTGCGGCCACCGACCGCGTTGTGCAGTCATGCTCGGCTGATGTCACTGATGATGGCTGGTTCCGCTCTCTCGCTGCTCGCTGCCAAGACACCTCCTCCTCCACGTCCTCCTCCCATTCCATCCTCCTCCTCCAAATCTCTCTGACTCATCCTTCTTCTCCTCATTTTCCTCCTGCTCCTCCTTTCGTCGTGGAACTCGAGTGTGAGTGTCAGGCTACCCATTGACCGTCACTGACCTAAGTCCTGGGTGGCACACAGCGTTGTAGGAAAGATATTGAAACTTACAGTTTGGTCGAATGCACATCATATATCTTACGAATGTTGACTTTTCATACGCCTCGCGAGGCCAGCCAGCGGCCAGCGTGCTACTCCTCGTTCCCAATATCAGCGTGCATCCCTTGGCTCCAATTTAGATGTCAGGCCAGAGCTTAAGGAAACTATCTTCGGGCTTGAATCCGAATTGCGTCTAATTGGAAAGGTCGGAATCCCAAAGGTCTTTTGCTACCAGTGTCTCATCCCTCGCTATCCGTAATCATTTTTGCTCGCTTGCAAGCTCGCTACGTCGGGCCGGCCCACCGTGATGGGCGACTCCCGTTGCCCGTCGCATTGAGTTGACTTGTTCGGACCACGCACTCCGAGTGCCGCACTCCTCCGCCTCGCGATGTCGTCTCGAGACCGTGGGCAGACTCAGATGGAGGCTGATCTGATGGACCTCGAAGCATTTGGGCCCCCGACCCCGTCGAAAGGTGGCAGTGGTCTCAGTGCAACGCCGCGCAAGGGGAAGCAGTACGGGCCGTGCATGGTCTGCGGGTTGCTGAAACCCGACATGCCCTCGAACAGCAAGTTCTGCTGGGATGACAAGAGGACGTTCGACGCGATGATGAAGCAAGCCAAGGACCAGGACAAGAAGAACGGCAACACCGAGGGTCAGGACAGGCTCAACAAGATGAAGGACGAGGCTGGCGATCCCCCCAGCGATTTCAGCAACGCAGTCGTCGACTTCGCCACTCAGAGCCCAGCGACGGGGAGAGGCGTGAAGCGCACCGCGGTTGACATGATGCAGTTGTTGAGCAAATACTCCGCCAAGACGCAGCTGCGCCAAGAGACCAAGAAGGTCAAGATGCACAAGGCCCGATGGATGAAGTTGGCGACCGAGCAGTTCATGTTCCCTGCTCACATTGCCGAGGCGGAATGGACCAAGGCAAAGAACGAGACGCCGCTCAAGCTGCAAGATAATCAGGGCCCTGAGGGCGAGTTGCGCTTGCCGATGCCCGTCGAGGAGGCAATCGTCGCAGCGAACATCTCAGAGCACGAGAGGTCCATGGTGTTGGAGTCGAAGAAGAGGAGGGTCACAGGCGAGCAGCAGGTGGAGGAGGGGCGATCCAGCTTGGTCGAGGGCCACGCGAGCTTCAACGACTCGATGTTCGACAACGTGGGAGGTGGTGCGTTCGCACACGGTGGCGGCTTTATTTCGGGATCGGGCTGTGGTTCTTTCAGCGGCTTCTCCGACGGCGCGAGCACGTCATCCGCAGGAATGGTCGTGATCAACGCCAGCGCCGACAAAAAGCCGACACAGAAGCAAGAGAAGGCGTGGGACGAAATCAATCGCTTGAAGCTGCAAGATTTCATCAAGGAGAAGTCCAAGGACGGCGTTACCAAGATCACGCAGGTCTTCTTATCCTCGGAGAAGGCTTACAATGATACAGCGCAGCGCATCTTCGGTGATGGCGCCGTCGAGAATCAGCTCAGGTATGTGGACGTGATGTTGAATCGCATGGACTTCTTGCGCTTCATATTTGTCCACCCGGGGAACGAGAACGAGGAGAGCTTCGGGCTGATGGGAGTCCTCGACGGGGCAGGTAAGACCTCACTCCAGGCTGCGGTAAAGGCGCTGGCCGTGGTGGATGCGGCGCTGGAGGCGACGCCAGACCCAGACCCAAACACGTTGAAGATCGTTCCAGCGGCGGACGTGCTGAATAAGATCAAGTTGGCGCAGCAGGCCTTGGCAAGCACATCAACAACAGGACAGTGCAAGTCGCTCTTCACGAAAGCCGGGTGGGACAACACCAACGCGAAGTTCGGAGATGGCAGCGGCTTCACTCAGATGGAGTTCCATCGGTTTGCACGAAGCGTCCGCGAGGTGCGGTACCAACTCGAGACTACGCTGAAGGCCCACGACGATCCGGGAGTGGGAAAGCTGGGTGAGGCCGTCGATGCAGTGGACGAGGTCATGAAGACTAAGACCTACACAGGGGCCAAGATTGAAAATATTACAGCCATCATGAACAGCGACGGGATGCAGGAGATCGTGAAGCAGCCCTTCGTCCAGTCTGCGCTCAAGTCCATGGGGTGGACCTCGGCCGATGCAGATGATGGTGCCGTCAAGCTCGGTGGCCCGACTTCCCCCCTCTTCGAGAGCGGCATAGTGCAATTTAAGGAGTTGCTCAAGCTCTCGTTCTGCTCGCGCCTCAGCAAATTCCGCTTGCTCTCTCTCATCGCCGCGAAGAAAGATCTGGGCGCGGCGATGCCGATCACCAACCCCGAGGACTTGCCCGTGTTCTATCGGTTTAACGAGTTCGACATGATGGCCAAGTACGCCACAACGGAGGACCAGGGCCACGCCGTGAAGAAAGCAGTGACCGATGCCACCGCCTTGATTGCTAAGCTTACGAAGGTCTGCTGCGCTGGCATCTCAGAGTGCCTGAACAACGTCTCAGGGTTTGACAAAAAGCAGGAGAAGGAGCGGGAGGCTTTGAGGAAGCAGGCGGATGCCGAGGCACTGAAGAAATCGAAGGAGGAGGAAAAGAGAGCAAGTGCCGCGGCCAAGAAGAAGGCTCAGGAGCGCCAGAACATCAAGCAAGCCGAGGTGGCGCTGCTAAACCAAGTGCATGAAGTGATTGAGGACATCCGTAAGTACGACACCGCGGCAGATGTGAAGGACGCGCTTACCACGAAGAGCATCGATACCAATGTGGGCATCCCGTACATCGTAATGAAGCACGACTGCATGTCCAAGATCGTACAAGAACGCTCGGTCAAAGCGGCAGTGGGAGTCTTCAAGATCCAATACCCCAGCTCAGTGCAAGCCAGTAAAGATGGCCGCGGGCAGACCCCGTTCACCAACGAGCAGAAGGACCACATCCGCAAGGCCATGCTCGAGACCGGACCAGGGGCGACGATCAAGTACAAGTCCACCGGAGCGAACGACCCGAACACGCTGGCCGTGAAGGCAGTCGAGTCGGTCAGCTTGTTCGCGTGCTCGTCGGGGGCTTCGTATACGGGCTTGGAGAAGCATGGGCTTGCGACGATGCGTTACACGATCGCAGGCCAGCGCGAATATGCAGTGTTGTCGTGGACGGACCTGCTGGCCTACGCCACGAAAGTGGGCACGGAGATGAAGGACTCCAGCACCATCGAGGAGTTCACCCAGGGGATCGTCAACTCTTTGAACTCCAAGGAAAGCCTCGACGTGTACAAAGAGGCTGGCGGGAAGATCTACAGAGGCATCGCTGGCCCAGAATCCACTTCCTTCTTGCCGATGGGGTGCATCATCGTTGAGCGCACGCTCGGCGATTCCAATGTCATCGGCTTCCGCACAGGCTCGCTGTATTCGTCCACGGCCCCCATGGAGTCATTCAAGTCCTACGCCGAGTGCTACAAGAACGTCCATGGAGTTGAAAATCCAGTGTCGAAGTTCTGGTCGATGTTGCAGGGCATGATTGAGCCCAGTGCGTAGCTTCAGGAGTCAGGTCAATGCGAGATGCGAGCTGCGAGAGTCAATGTGAGTTTGTTTCGAATTGTGTTTCGATGGTAGCTGAGCTGCACAGTGATTTGTGCAGACACGGGGATCCCGACGGGGATAATGTCACCTCGAAGCAGATACTGCTCATTCTCCTTTTTCCCTCCCCCTCCCCCAGTTGCTCGCGGACTCGTCCTCCTCCACCTAGCCTACTCCCCCCTCCTCCTCCAAGTTCTGCTCCTCCCCCCTCCTTCACGTTCCTCCTTCTTCCCATCTTCCCCGCAAGGGAGCGCACCCAACCGTGAGAGTCGCGGGGAGAGGAGGACGAAGAAAAGAGAGACAAAGAGGAAGACGAGGATAGTAGATGGCATGAGGAGTTGGAGGAGGTAGAAGGGGAACAGTGGGAGGAAGTGGAGGATGAAGGACCAGAAGGAGGAGCATGATGTGGAGGTTCGCCAGGTGTTCTTGGAAGGGGGTCCTCATATCTCATCATGCTACCCTCCACTACCCAACTTATGCCAATGCAACTACCTCCACCACTAATATTCCCACTGCCACTGCCAACGCTACCGCACTACCACCGCAAATTGCACTGCCAGACCGCCACTGCCATTACTATTACTACTGCGACAACTACCACTACCACTACCACTACCAACCACCACCACCACCACCACCACCACCACCACCACTTGTCTTTCGGTTGCGTAGCCCTTTTTTGGCTGAGAGGTGGGGTCCGTCATCCGAGAACCCACATGACTTCTAGGGCCCGTTCCAGGATTCTGGATTCGCCCCCAGCTGCTGCTGACCTGTCCAACCGTCGAGTTCGTGACGAGACCCATGGCGGCTTGTGGTCCGAAGAGAATATATTCCTCTTGCCGGACATTCCTGTGAAGCGCCAGCGTGTCACATGGCGCAAATACCCTACAGGCGTCTGGCTCTGCAAGCTCAAAGGCCTTCAAGCTGGCGAATCCAGAGTGGTCAGCGAGCCTGTGTTTTCTTCGCCCGCGTCTAGTGGCCGTGCGAGTGCTGTTACAGACACACCGTCGCCGTCGCCCAGGCCGACCAGTGCACTCGCATCCGAAGTTGTGGACCTCACATCAGAATAGATTGATAGAGTACTCTGACTCCCCGGGGGAACGGGAGCAGAAGCTGAGTGAAAAACTCAGAGACGCCGCGCCGGCATCATCGTCGTCAGGTCGCCGATGTCGCCGCCGCCGCCGCCATCGTATCCCTCATCTTGCTGCTTTTCCTCTTCGGTCTCCTCTGCTCCTGCGTTTGCTGCTGCTCCTCCTCCTCCTCCTCCGCCTCCTCCCCCCTCCCCCTCAGGACAATCGGATAATATGGGCGTGCGAATCGAATCGAATCCACCTCCCCCCAGTGGGCCCTGCGTCCTGGGCGGGCTCCTGACGGCTGACGGGCCCTGAGTGCGAGGAAACGCGAGGAGGAGCAGGAGGAGAATCGTCAGCAGGAGCGGGGGCACGAGGATGAAGGAGGAGCGCCAGGAGAAAACGGAGAGAAGGAGGAGGAGGAGGAGGACTAGGAGGAGGTCTTCTTGGGGTATCCAAAGCGGTCGCGGGTCACGCCGAGGCGCGGGGCCCTGGCGGGGTTATCTGTGGCGTTCGGTGAAAATTACTATGGTTGGGGGCCTCTTGGGGGCCTCTTGGGGCCTCTTGGGCGCCTCTTGGGCGCCTCTTGGGCACCCCTTCGGGACCTTTGGGCCGAAAGGCTTGGATTTTCGGTTCGTGTTCCCTCTGGTGCCCCTTTTGGGGCCGACTTGGGGCCCGCTTGGGCCGTCTTGGGCGCCTCTTGGGCCGTCTTGGGGCGCTCTCAGGCCGTCTCGGGTTCCTCTTGGAGGCCTCTTGGGCCGTTTTGGGGTGGTCTTGGGGGCCTCTTGGGCCGTCTTGGAGCGTCGGAAAGCCTAAAAGGCGAGAACGCTAAAATCTTTCGAAAAGCGACGGGAAAATTAACGATTTTTGCCTTTGGGTCCCTCTTGGGATGCCTCCTGGAGGCCTCTTGGGGCGCCCTGGAAGCCTCTTGCGCCATCTTGAGACCATCTTGGGCGTCTTCGGGCGATCGTTCGGCGACTCGGGGCCCTCTTGGACCGTCTTGGGGGCTTCCTGGGCCGTCATGGAAGCCTTGGGGAACTCTAGGGAGGTGCCCTGGTCGCCATGGCCGCCCAGAGACCCCGCGGGAGTAGGGCCGGTGCGCGCGGCGACGTGCGGCGGGGAGATGGGGGGTCCCATAGAAGATTACAGGAACCCTACCAGACAGCAGTTGGCATTCTAGCACGCCTCAGCGTGCCAGGGGACTCGGTGGCGGATAAGGCCGCGAAACCAGACGCACGGCGCCGCCTCGTGTCCCACGACCGTCTCGTGGACTCACTTCTCCGACTCGGCGAACGCCCGTCCTCCGACATTACCCTCGCACATCCAAGTCCGATGCGACGGAGACTCGACATCGATCTGCCACCGTTCGCACTTGCCACAACTATGTAGACCTGCTTCTTGGCGTCGCTGTGCCGCCCACGGGGATGGACACCATCAACTTGGTAAGCCGCCGACCGCGATACACAAACTGTAACTAGTGCAGAAACTTCTGCAAACTCAGCATGTCAACTCCGCCCTCGAGGCCCCCACCGTAGTGGTCCGCGGCCAATCTCCACTGTCTCGCTCGAGAGAAGTAATTGTCGAACTCGTTGATGGGAGGGGTGGTCCGATCCGTTCCTGCGAACTCGTCACTGCTGAAATTCCAACAGTGCCGATCTTCAGTAATGCCACTCGCCGTATTTCATCCACTTGCCGAGATCGGGTTCTACTCCGCGGGCAGAAGATAAGCGATGATCGCCGAGACTGGACACCGTACGTGGCGAGACCTCGCGGCCTCGGGCATGTCCGCGGGCTCTCCGACAACGCGAGGCCATACCTTGGTCATGGTTGCACGTACCCGAGGTTTTGAGAGCCAAACTTGACGCGAAAGTATTGATCCGGGGTCGTCTTGAGGAAGGCGTAGCGCCAGCGGCGTCGTGGTGCATCGCCCTCGACGAAGGGATCCCGCTGCTGCTGCGAGTCGCTTCCTCTGGACCACCATGCCCGCGACGTGGACTCCGTACACCGTGTGTCGACGCCGCCTGGGGCCCAGCTCTCTGGAACTTGGCCGTCGCCGCGAGCCGCCTCGATGCTCGAGCGAATCGCCGAAGTTTGGCGTGCTGGGTGCCCGACTTCGCCACGCGCTTGCGAGCTGCATCCCGAGCCTGCCGATTGCCGCCTCCCCAGTCCACGCCCAGGTTCGCGTCCAGGAACGTGGCGTTGATCGCGATGCCCCGCCGACGAGGTGCACGCACGACCAGGCGCGCGCCCCCTGAGCACGAGCAGGTGCGGACAATCTTCGGCGAGAGGCGCAACTGCTGCTCCTCAGAGAACTTGACCGTCGAGGTGATGCCCTTGATGGGAGTGGTCCGCACGTGGCGTCGAGAGCCCATTGGATATACCGTCTATCAGCAACCTTTCCGAAAAGGTGAGATGTGCGATGCAGAACTTCTGAACCACCCAGTACGTCGTGCGACGTGCAAAGCGGTTTCCATTTCGCAATTCTTGGACCACCGACCGCGTCGGTTGAAATAAACTTGACAGCGAATCCAGTTGTGCGACCACCCTCGGACACATGCAGAGCTGGAGCTCGAGGAAAAACACCACGGGCGGGAAGCCGAGCTTGATGACTCCCTTGACCAGCGGACCGAACTCGATGCGAACCAATGTCCGCCAAATAATGCCCATGAGGTATGCCAAGCTTGCTCTCGACCCAATCGTCGAGTGCTCTGACAAATGCTTCACGTAGCGCACTGTTGTTTGCCACCGCTGCATCCCACACGGCTCATGCTCAACGGTCCAATGCTGCATGAGATGTCCACGGCACATGAACCACCCACGACACAGCTTGGCGAGCAAGCCAATCATACGATCGTCTCTGCTTTTCTTTCCCCAAAGGCCGACCTATGACGACCATGACCTGCCATGGCCAACTCAATCTTTCCTCTATCATCTGATATAGCAAACACAGTTCAGCACGAGCGGCGTCAGGTAACCTTTCCAGGTCGGCTGGCGATATGCGGTCTATCTCAACCCCTGCTTTGCTTTCGATCGGAGAGAGTTGACCGCAGCTCGGCGACAGTGATCGGTTCCAGTGACTCAATCTGCGCGTGTTCACGAATACATGCGCTGGTATCTTGCATCATGCGAAGCGTAAGTGTGTCAGTTTTCACACATCGTGCAATCTGCGTACCTTCCGATCTCTGATGTCCAACAGGTGTACGTAACACTGGCCCTCCTCGTGAAGCTCATCCGCGACGGGCGGATGCTCTTTGATACTTTTGTGAGCCACTCTGACTGCAGGTGTCGTGGCGATCCAGTCCTGGAACTCCTTCAAGGATGCTGACGCGGCCTTGTACTCGGCGCAGCGTGCACCCCGAAAGGCCGAAGCCTCCAAGTGCTTGAGCCGCTCCAGACTGAGATTGCCGAGGTTTAGGAGGTCGCGCTGAAGCTCTGTTCATGCACCAATGCTGGGGAGCCTGATCAAGCAAGTCCGTCGGGCGCGCTATTTCCGATCTTAACTCCAGCTTCGCACAAGTGTTGAGCTTGAGCAGACCCTTTCTTCCTGCTTCGATGTCGAAACAACTTCTGATTCACTGAAGGAGCACTAGTTCACCAACTGTGCCAGGCTGGCTGCGAATATGAACTGCTTGGTGGACTGGTATTCCTGTGAGCTGAACACCTCCTGCACGCGACTGCCGTGGGGGATCCAGCTGGTGGCGAGCTGCGATGGTCTTCTCAACTTAAGTGGCCCAGGCAGCGTACCGGTTGCTGATGTGCGTGTCCAATTTGAAACGCCAGCGACTGGCGAATAGCAGGCCGATCTGAATCGGGTGTGTGTGTGGTTTGGGCCAGCCAACTCGAGACGAAACAACGGACCACGTAGAGAGAGGGATGGAGAAAGACGGC